GTGTAGATTTCAGACGACAGCCTTCAGTCGACAGTCAGTTTGAGCTTGAACTTCATCTCGCAGAATTGCGCATCGAGGATGCAGCCCTCGGGGATACAGCATCGATTCCAGAAAATTTGCCGGCCCTCGTCAACCATTCGATTCCAGGAAGCCTTCATGCAGGTTTCAAACGGCAGCCCCCGTTCTGAAGCTTTCGATGACTGCCCCGATCCCATGCAGACTTCAGGCGGTAGTTGGACACTGTTTTGATCTTGTTATTCAGCGTATCGAATTACTCGCAGAAAATAAGCGACCCTTTGTGCATTTCTAAAAGCGCATCGGATACTTTTTGATGTAGAGTTCGAGCTCAAAGTGCGCAGTTTGGGTAGTCGTCTTATCGCTTTTTGTTCGCGTTTATTGATGCCACTTTATACCTAATGGTCCTATGGACTATGAACTTTTATGTGGGTTGAAATTCCATAGGCCGTAAGCAGAATGCAGAATACATAGCGCATGCACATTGCTAACTCGACATTTTGAAGAGCGCATGCGCTATGGATTCTGCATTCTACTTATGGCTTATAGAGTCTTATGTGCTTCGGCCTTAAGGGATTATATGTAACACTCCGAACGCCTAATTCCGCGGGATACTTGAAATCCCACTCGATGTGCCTCGCTGCTGGGTTCCATTGATAAAAAGTGAAAACTCACCTTGCGAATTTGGAAGGATTGTTACGAAATAAAAGTGAATATTAGGATAGAAACGTATATATGAACTGCGATCTGCTCTGATCGAAGGTCGATACACAAGTCTTTATTTCAAACTCAAAACTCTTGGGACTCGCCTCCAGAGTCTTTATAAAGATTCTTCTATCAACATACATAGTATTCAGCCAATCAAGCGCGAGTTCAGAAGGAACAAGGAAAGAAGACTGTGAACTTATACTAGTTGTTTCTCACGGTTGCTTCTTCGGTGAAAGGACTAGTCGTCTTCATTTAAATCATTGATACTTGACTTGCTGGCATTGAACACTCTTAACGTAAATCAAGAGTTCTAAATAACTATAAGTAGTTCAGACGCTTTTTAAGTAAAAAAGGGAATACAATTCTAGTATTAGTAATAAAAACAACGTCTATTATAAGGTTTATAAATAATTACAACATCACCACTTGCATATATCGATTCTCTCAGAGTTGTCCTTTTATAAATTGAATCTTTTTTTAATAATATCTTGGATTAAAGATATCCTATATTTGTTGTTTGAATAATCGAGGGTTTTGAATTGCTAAAACGTATACCATCTATAGCCGAATTCCTGAATTATATCGAAGGTTGTCGCATACGTCACACATAATTCCAACTGTTGCCATCTACACAAAGAACAAGAATTAACAGTTATCAGCACATGTATGTATATACTGTGACGTGGCATTTTGATGCACGTCACAAAATTAGGCGAATTCGGCTACGTCGTGGGACCGGATGGGTTACGGAGCGTTTCGCGTGGCGTTGGACTGATTTTATTTTAAGAATTTGTATTTATTTCCTTGTGGGGAACGTTTCGTTTGTTTTTGAGTTCATTAGGCAGATGCGAGAGGATTCGAAACAATTTGTATTAAGACGGGGCCCGAGAGAGAGCCAACTACAGGCCTGGCGGAGCGCTGTCGAGGAGAGGTGACGTCAAGACCGGAGCACACAACCTGGTGGCTCAACTACGCGTAGCAAGCGGCGAGCGTCTTCAGAAGCAGAGGGCATATAGGAGTTGCAGAAGCGGCGTGAAGCCGAATATCGAGGGAGTAGAGGTGGATGTGATTCCAGCCTTTCGGAAACGGCACTGCAGCCATCCTAGCGTAGCAAGATGCCAGGATTTATTTTACCGGGATCGTTAAAACAATTGAAGATCGCGAACTGGCTAGCGGAGCCGATGTAACAGCGAACCTGATTGGACCAGGGGGTGGTAATACAGCGCGCTCTCAGGAAGGTTCCCGATTTTGGAAATTTGTAGCGTCACTCACGACGTGGCCTAACTCAGGGATAAACGTGCTATCGTTTTCTACCGACTTTTGTATTTACTGTATCGTATCGTGATCCGTTTGAGGGACTATAATCCAGGAGAGTGTGTTCCTGGAAATAGTAGGAGCTACTGGACAACGGTGAGTGACGCTCAGGGGTATTTTGGCTATTTTTTATTTCACGAGATCAACCGATCTTTTCTGCTCGACGCGTCATCCTGCGCTTTTCTGACCGCTAAGGGTCCAAGGATAGCTAATCCGGTGACAAACAGGGGATCGGTCTCTCATTTCATTATTTCAATTCTTCCGGTTTTGTGTCTAACCGTTCAGTCCACGTCTCGCGGAATCGTCTCCCTAGCACATGGGTGCGTGAGTCAATATCGTACCGTTTATTATCGTAACCGTACCATTTGTTATATCGTATTGTATGTTGCGTTGTTCCAGCGGGAACATTATTGTATAATATCGTTCGGGTAAATATCCCAGTGTGTTCTGCATCATCTCGATCAGTTTTCTGTACTTATCATTTGTATCTCAGCATCTCGTTCTTATATTTTCTATTTAAAATAAATCGGATCCGTCCCCGGATTTTGGTTCCGATAGTTTGTTGTTTTCAGTAGTTTTTAGAGTAAACCTCCCTAATTTTCAGATTTTCATTATTGCCTCCCAGACGCAGAACCCCACCGCATAAGAGCTGGCCAGGGTGTTCTTAGGAGACAGAGGTGTAACTCTGGTTATACCTGGCGCCCAATAATTTAGTATTTCATTAATTATTTCTCGCGGTGCCGTTTATTTGTGCGTCACCGTTAAAAAGTGTCGTCACCTACATAAAGTTAGCACTGTAATATTTACTTCTTGAAATTTTTATTTTGCTAAAAAAAATTGTAGGTTTTTTTTTTGGAAACTAAAATTTGGAATATGAAGTTAGCCCTAAAAGTATTACTTTTCACACAAATAACTTTTTTGTGTGCAATTGATGCCCAATTGTTTGTTATTCACGGATCACCTAATTAAAAAATTTGTTTGTAAGCGGTTTCGTTAAAAACAAAACAAAACCATTCATGGACAACGAGGCGGTCATGCCGCGTGGCTGTGAACTAGGCTGCATACATCTAATACATATTTTTCAATTAAAATCATCCTCAGAAGTTAGTATGGACTTAATCGAAGCACAATCGGTAGGTGGTTACAAATACCACAATTAAAACCTTTCATAGTCATTAATTAATGCAGGAGATGCGAAAAATCGTACCTCTGTAGTACGATAAGCATCGAAAGCTGGGGTTGGCTAAGAAATGGATACAAGCGTATTGAAACATGTTTTTATTGATAAAATTTACAATTCTAAGCCGATCTTGCTCAGGAAGCTCCTAATCAAAGCAGGAACTCTTGCTAGCTATTAGTGGCTTAATTAAAACATTTAGTGGTCATTAATTAGTGGAACATTCTATGTCATATTGGTAGATAATTCTAGAGTGCGTCGCCTCCCGTGTTAGAAAATCGGCACTGACTACAGCGCCTCTAGCCCAGAAGCATTTTATTTGTTGAACTTTTTCTTTTGCCAAATATTTATTAGTTTTATGCACTTAACTCTAACCATAATGGAATTCGTATGCCTCTATTCGGAGGTAATCCGGCCAGCGCGCAGCTGTCTCAGTCACATGGTGGATAAGGTTGTCCTTTCCGAATTGAACTGCGCATGTGGTGTACAAGCCCTGTGAAAATGTTGTCCTGCCGACATATCAGCCGTCCTTCCCTTCCTTCCTTTCCTTATGGCTGTATCCCCAATGGGGGACATGTGCCAGTAACTGGTCCTAATAATCAAGGTTGGAAGTTCGACAATAGATGGCGATGTACCTAGCGAGACGGGCCTTATTCAACTCAGCGTGAGGGTATCTACAAAGTTTATACACCAAATCCGAACAGTGTTGGGCGAAATCCGTATAAATACTCACTTAAGTTTTCATATTAAAACCCATTGGTGAATGCCGCTGGAAGCTAGGCGCGAACCTCCAACTTTTCGGTCGTGAATCCGCTACCCTATCCACTGGGCTACGGCCGCCCCCCTCAGTGCCAGCCGTGGTGCAATGGAAAGAGCACTGAAATATAAGTACATATAAATCCTATCTAGGCTCCATCATATAAATATAAAAACGACAAAAAAATATTTAGCAATCTTCGAAATAAAATATATGTGGTACTATTTCAGGTTATGTTATGTTGGGTTAGTCCTCCCCGTACGCACTGCTTTATCCCAGCTTAAACTTTTTCAGAGACTGTACAATGTGTAATACAGACAGGCTGCTACTCTCACCTGTGTCCTTGCTATCTCTCTCTGCTCGCTCCCACCACCGCCATACGGATTAAAGTATGGATAGAGTTCAGTGGTTTTATGGTGATTTTTGGTGGACCAATTAAAAAATTTATTGGTTGCTCATTTTTTTGGAAAATGGAAAATAAAATTTGGAGTGTGAAGTTAGCCCCGAATATTACTCAGGATATTACATAAACCGTAGTAATAAGGTAGTCAATACCCTTAATATCCATATGAAATTCTCGAAATAATAGAGTAAGGAAATAAAACTTTAAACAAACCCTCGAACGTGGGTACCTCGAGAAATATAAGTTTATTAAATAATATATCATGATTCACTGGCACACGTGCCTGGTGCTGAGGTTGGTCTTAGGTTCGAAACTCACGTCTTATCTCTTTTTTTTTTAATGATCAACTATGGTAATTGGTTCACCTAATTAACTGAAGATTCATTAAATACATGATTATATTAGTCTACAAATATTGTATTATATTACATCGTATACATACAATAAATTAGTACAGGAATCAGCGAACGTTAAAACGTTTAAATAGCGCATAAATAATATTCAGACGGATGAAGAAGGCATTACGAAAAATTATCAAAAACAAAATTGCACTTATAAATCTTGGGCATAAAATGATGAGCATATAAAAATGAAATATAAAAATGAGACTTTTTTTCCATTGCTGTCAATTTTTCTCTTATATCTTGATGAGAGTCCGTGTAGCAACAAGTGACGCTGCTAACTTCCATCAGCTATGGATTATGATATGTGAAAAACATGCATTGGGCGCGTTGGCAACGATTCAGCTTCGTAATCGTAAGATGCCGAGTTCGCGACTAGAGACGAAAGCTTTTTTTTCTTCATTTCTATTTTGTTTAATTTCTTTAAGAGGTAATGCCACTCTAACGGCTTAAAAAATAGGAAATTTTGGTCAATTATTATTAAAAAATAGCATATGTAATATAAAGTTTCTTTATATAAATTTATTGTACACTGAACGTCATTAAAGTTGTCCAGCTTGTCGATGCTGTGAGGTGAGGTAAGAGAGAAGAGTGTACAATGACTGTTTGACGGACGTACCAGGATACGTGCGTGAAACGCAGCTAGCGCTATAGTGCGAGCGAGACGCGAAAGCGTCGTACGGTGCGTCCTTTTCGCACGCATGAGTGGGAGTGAGACGCCATTTGAAATTTGAGTCCCACTGATTGTGAGTCGCACCTGGAAGCTTGGTGGGACATTACCGCTAGCTAGCCTGCTCGACAACGTAGGAGAAGAAAATGCCCCACCAAGCTCCCTATTGCGAATGAGGGGCCGCATTGCCGTCTCCCTTAAACTTGTGGTGTGCAACAAGGATGTGCCGAGCGACACTCTGGCGTCTCGCTCGCACCTTAGTGCTCTCTGCGTTGCAAGCGCAGGCAGAGGTATGTGAGCAGGCACCGCCCAGTCTCCTCTCTTACCTCACTGCACTACGTCAACAAGATGGGCCCATTAATGACGCTCAGTGTACATGATTTTAAGAGTATACTACAATTTTTTTCTTTAAATTGGTGAGTTTGCAACTTATTCAACAAAACCTCTTATTCATAACAGTGTTCTGCGGCTGGACGAATTACTTTTTGGAGGTTTGACCTGAAACAAAAATCCAAATAATTTTCAATTCTATATAAGAATAGCGACAGAAGGTCTAATCAGAACTTTGATTTTAGACGTGCGCCATTTTTACAAAACATGCCATGTTTTAATTTCCCTACGTATTTCTCTAGCTATTCTTATACAGAACTGAAAAATGTTTGTTTTTTTTTTGTTTCGGGTTAAACTTCCAAGGAGTGATTTGTCTGGCCGGAGAAAACTGCTCTGAACAAGAGGGTTTGTTGGGTACGCCACCGTTTCGAAAAAAAATTAAACAAAAAATTTTTTTATACTCTTAAAATCATACTGCCTTTCCTTTTTCTTATTTTTGTGTTCCATACTTGAAACGTTTATATTCATTCACTCTATATTTGAAAACGCAGAGCGAACTCATACTCTCAAACTAGAAGAAAGAACTGAAAAAGGCTAGCAGAAGCCGCGGGAATATTTTCAGTTTGTTTGCAACATTGTATGCCTTCATGGGTTCGCGGCATATGTATTCTCGAAAAGGTTCCGTTCACTATTACTTTTCTACGATTGCTATAGTTCATCACCGAGTTTCATGTGTTTTATTTGACAAATGGAAAACAATGAAATCTCTAGCAAGGTGCACATGTCATTGCATAAAGTATTTGTTATAAAACTGCATATGCAATGTCTTGAACTACACATATTTTATTTTGCATATGGTTTGCTTAGGACTGCATTATTTTTGAACTTCGTCCTCCCATGCGAGCCATGCAACACCGGGTCAAAAAATATTAAACAAAAAAGAAATGAAGAAAATAAAGTTTTCGTCACTAGACGCGAACTCGGCACCTTACGATTACGAAGTTGAATCGTTGCCAATGCGCTCGATGCATGTTCTTCATATATGACAATCCATAGCTGGTGGAAATGCGCAGCCTCACTTGTTGCGATACGGACTCTCATGAAGATGTAAGAGAAAAATTGACAGCAATGGAAAAAAAATCTCGTTTCATTCGCTTAACGCTTAACGCTTTTGCATTCCTAACATAGATACATTTCTCCACTTCATTTTTTGTTTTAATGTGTCGTGGTCGCAGCGTGGTCTGATTAGAAAAAAAAAATTTAATAACACTCGCACGTATGGCAGGCTGTTTCACGTTTTGATAGTTTAAATATTATTCAGCCGAATAGAAAAGTGGTAAAAAATGTCCCAAAAAATTGCACTTATTAATATCGGGTAAAAAAAATGAAAAGCGTAAAAAACCCTGAATTTCATGTGTTTTATTTGACAAATGGAAAACAATGAAATCTCTAGCAAGGTGCACATGTCATTGCATAAAGTATTTGTTATAAAACTGCATATGCAATGTCTTGAACTACACATATTTTATTTTGCATATGGTTTGCTTAGGACTGCATTATTTTTAAACTTCGCCCTCCTATGCGAGCCAAGCAACACCGGGTCGAAAAAAATTAAACAAAAAAGAAATGAAGAAAAAAAAAGTTTTCCTCTCTAGACGCGACACCGGGTCAAAAAATATTAAACAAAAAAGAAATGAAGAAAAAAAAGTTTTCGTCACTAGACGCGAACTCGGCACCTTACGATTACGAAGTTGAATCGTTGCCAATGCGCTCGATGCATGTTCTTCATATATGACAATCCATAGCTGGTGGAAGTGAGTAGCCTCACTTGTTGCCACACGGACTCTCATGAAGATGTAAGAGAAAAATTGACAGCAATGGAAAAAAAATCTCGTTTCATTCGCTTAACGCTTAACGCTTTTGCATTCCTAACATAGATACATTTCTCCACTTCATTTTTTGTTTTAATGTGTCGTGGTCGCAGCGTGGTCTGATTAGAAAAAAAAAATTTAATAACACTCGCACGTATGGCAGGCTGTTTCACGTTTTGATAGTTTAAATATTATTCAGCCGAATAGAAAAGTGGTAAAAAATGTCCCAAAAAATTGCACTTATTAATATCGGGTAAAAAAAATGAAAAGCGTAAAAAACCCACACAATTATTTTATACATATGTATGGTGAGATGAGACAAATAGTGTATCTACTTAGAAATTTTTAGTTTCATACATTTTTGAGTAGCCTGATTCAATTTAGTAAATTTTTTTTATTCAAGCCTACGGAAAGATAATTGTATTTTTAATATCTCGAATTATCAGTATGTTCTGATGTAAAAAATAATTCAGAATTAAAATTATACCTCGACATAATTTTCTGATAATTCGATGTATTAAAAATGTTACCTTTACATAGCCTTGAATGGTAAAAATTAAATGAAAAAAAATCCCTAACCAGTTACATTATCGGTTTCATCTCACTATAGAAAATAATTGGTTCATTTTTATATGCTCATCATT